TTACCAGCATACACAATCCTGACGAATTAATTAGATAAGCCCCTGGTTATAATGCCCAAAGGATTCTCTCTCTCTTGTTTGCTTGCTTTTGCACTTCCGCTTCTCACTTGCTCCATGACCCACACTTGCCAGTGTGCTAGCCCACCATGTCACCTTCGGCCGTATCGACCCCACACGCAATGGACTGCAGCTGGCAGCACAAGCTAAGCTGGCCAGATGCTAATCTGGTCTGTGCTCTAACACGGAGCTAAGACTCTGTGCAGTGGCTTTAACTCTAGCTCTGCTGAAGACAAGACGGAACTATTTCCAAGGTGGTACAGAGGGAGATGGGATCTTGGAAGGGAACTCTTTTAAAGTTAAATCAGCAACAAAGCTTTCCATGATACCTCATTCTCCCATGGGGACCTCATAAACTCCAATTCCACTGGTAATATATGGTGATGCAGAGGGTACCCCACCAATAATATTTTCATTAAACGTTCTGTGCATTTAATGGACCCTCTTAATCTTGAAATTTACATCCTCACATCTTGAAAAAGTATATTTTAATTATTATTATTTTAGTGATTCCCTATCCTCTATTTTCTCCAATTATTCAGATGTTGGATATACTGCACTGGACTTTTGGATTTATTGATACTTTCTTATTTTCCAGATTTATATTTTATACTCTATTTTCTGGCAAATAGCTTCAGCTTTGTCCTTCATCCTTTTTTAATTTTTGTTGTTTTAATTTCTGCCATCGTGTTTTTTAATTTCCAAAGCTACTTTTGTTCACTAAGTTCTTTGTAAAAATAACTTATTCTTGTTTTATAGGTGTACTATATTCTTTTACCTCTTTGAGATTGAGAATATTAACTGTAATTTCCTTCAAAGTTTTATTTATCTGTCTAATCAGTGCAAAAAATTTTGCTTCATCCAAATTACGTATTTGTCAACTAGAATCTTCACTGTAGTCTCCCAGATGCTATTGTTTAGGCCTGTACTCCTGGGCTGATCAGATTCTCAAAAAAAGATGTCTATAGTTTTCTGCCTTGATGCATGGGTGAGTCTGATACCTGTGTTTTGAAGCACCTCAGGCTGATCCTATCTCTCATGCTCGCATCTACCCCCTCTCACATGCCCAGCTCTACTCTGGGATACCCCTTTACAACCACCTCACTGGCAGAGTGACAGAGAGTAGAGGCCATAAGGCTGTGAGAGAGCAACAGGCCAGGACTGCAGCAAGTGTGCATGTCCTTCAGGCTCAGAGCTAAAGTCACTCAGGGCCACAGGGAAGGGAGGGGAGGCTGTGGCTGTTGGGAGGTACCCTGAGCTCTCAACCTTGGGTCTGAGCAAATGCTCATCTTTTCCTACTTCAGTGATTTTTAAAAATTTGATTCTGATTTTGGGAGATGATAATTTTACATTTATATATTTAAAAATAAATACTTCTTTTATTTTTTAAGCTCTTCATGTGTCTCTGTTGTAAAGACAAATTAGATGACTACTGAGGCTTCTTATAGCCTTAAATATTCTAAGAATTAAGACTGTCCGGTGCATTTTGGTAAATCCTCAAGGAGCCTACATTTCAATAGCTCTGAGGAAAGACTATTATACCTATATATGTTCAATATATTTTGCTGCCTTTCAGTTGTTCAAAACAGCCTAAGAAAAGGTAAATCACATCATTCTCTTTTCAGAGGCAAAAACTATGGGAGGGCATCAATCTTTGGCGACATTAAACAACTTCTGATGGAAACAATTCCTGCTCGACATGACTAACATCTACACTTGCTTTTGGTATTGCATCTGATTTCCTTGTCATTCTCTGTACAAACTGTGCATCTCATTCCCCATTAAGTTTTTCACCCAAGCCTAGAAGCACCAACTCCTGAAGAAGCAAATCTTATTTACTGTCACAGTACAACCTGTGCTTGGAATAAGTAGCCAATGTGAAGCTTTGAAGTATAATGCACAACCATGGGGTGAAAGAAAAGCTTACAAAACTACTAGATTAAGAGCAGCTGAAATACCATTTCAAGGAGTGAACTTACAAATGCCTCAAAAATCCCCAATGATACTGGCCAAAGGACCATGAACATGGAGATATATTGTGGAATGACCTTTCTTTATCTGTTTCACCAACAAAATGTCCCATCAATACTTGCCCCAAACTCATAACACACGAAGGGCGAGTGAGAAAACCAAGCATACCTAATAAAAACCCAGTGATGTCATGTTCTTTGAAAAGGCTCATTCAGCTCTTTAATCTCAGTCCAGTCACTGAATTTGGAAGTTGAGAGGTGAAAATTAACTTAGAGTAGCTGTTGATTTCCAATGAGGCTTAGTCCCCTGTACTCCCCAGAGCTGAAAGTCTCACTAACTGGGCTCTCTATATATTCCCAGGGTTAAAGTGGGAAACAGGGATAAGGTGATATTGTATGATTGATTTTAAAGCCCATCAACCCTAGGAAAAGGACCTTTAATGTATAAATAAGACAAGTCGAGATGTGTAATTGTAAAACAAACAAAAATTATGTTCATGTGATAGTAATGTCGATTAAACAAGGGCAAGATTAATAAAACAAGTCTCTTCATCCATTAAAATTTCTTCCCCAATCTAACCACTAAAAAAGAAAACTATGTCATTGGATACAAATTTTGAAGAAAAATGAAATCAAAAAATTATTTTTAATTAATAAAATTAATAAAATGAAAACACAACAAAAAGGAAGAATATAAAAGTAACTAACAAACTATAAGTACCACATCAATTCTATTTAAAAAACAAGCTTTGTGCCCAACTGGTGGCTTGGTGGTTGAGCTTCGACCCATGAACCAGGAGGGTACTGGTTCCATTCCCAGTCAGGGCACATGCCCAGGTTGTGGGCTCAATCCCCAATAGAGAGCATGCAAGAGGCTGCTTATCGATGATGTTTCTCTCCCATCAATGTTTATAGAGGCTTAGTCCCCTGGACTCCCCAGAGCTGAAAGTCTCTATCCCTCTCATTTCCTCTCTATTTTTAAATATGTTTCAATAAAATAAATAAAAAACAAGCTTTTTCAGAGGTCTTATGTTTTAAAATTATACAACTTTACTGACCTAAAAACTCTCATTATTTTTTAAAATATATGTTCTTTATTAATTTCAGAGAGGAAAAGAGAGGGGAAGAGGGATAGAAACATCAATGATAAGAGAGAATCATTCATCGGCTGCCTCCTGCACACCCCCCACTGTGGATGAAGCTTACCACCCGGGTAGGTGCCTTAACTGGATCCAACCTGGGGTCCTTCAGTCAGCGGGCTGACACTCTATCCACTGAGCCAAACCAGCTAGGGTAAAACTCTCATTATTAATGTCAAACAAATTATTAAGCACATGCAACTTATTAAGAAAAAGAGAAGCCCAATAGAAAACGGTCAATATATAAGAACAGGCAACTTATAAAAGCAGAATTACAAATGGCTAGGAAACTTAATAAAGATGTTATAGCAGGCAAAAAAACAACAACATAAAAGTCATCCCATTTTTACTCATCGGAATGGCAAAAATTAAAATGTCTGGTTACAGTCAATGCCAGTGAGAGTAGAGAAAAACAATTATCCTCTAATTTAAAACCTTATGGGAAAATGTTCCAATCAAATTCATTAAAACTGAAATCATATCTTTTATTTAGTAAAGAGAACCCACTAGTTAGATATCAAGAGAAATAAAAGTTTAAAGGTTTATACTAATATTTACTCTAAAATCTCTCATTACATTAACAATCCAAAGATCTCTTTATAAGATACAGTCGAAAGATGCTGATACTATAGACTAATATGTAGTTATTACAAAGACTGAATTATATCATGTACTGATTTTAAAGAACATGCACGAAATATTTTAAATTAAAAATAACACAATAATATACATATTTTTATAAAGCAAAAAATAAATACACAAAACTTATACCCACATCTATTCCTCTACAAAAGGAGAAGCGTGTATGTGTGTGCACGCGTGCGTGCACGTGCGCCATGTTCTGAAGAGTGGTATAGCCCAGTGGGCAAACTCATTAGTCAACAGAGCCACATATCAACAGTACAACAGTTGAAATTTCTTTTGAGAGCCAATTTTTTTTTTAACTTAAACTTCTTCTAACGCCACTTCTTCAAGATAGACCTGCCCTGGCTGTGGTATTTTGTGGAAGAGCCACAATCAAGGGGCCACAGAGCCACATGTGGCTCGCAAGCCCCAGTTTGCAGACCACAGATATAGGCAATGACTGGGAAGAAATTGAGACAGTTCACTTCAGATACATCCATACTACTCAGTCAATTCTCAGGTCATGAAATGTAGTCATCTGAATTGCAAAACCTGAGAACATCGTTAAATGTTCAGCTATAACTTGGCATCTTCTAACTCCCAAACATATGCCAAAAGAGTCTTCTGTTTTAAGCTTGAAATTTTGGGACAATTTCTTAAAATAGTTGTGAGGTAAAATGATAAAAATGTAGTTCTTTTGACACATAGCAATCCAATTTGTAGTAAAAGAAATCAAAGACAGCAATAGGAATAGAACCATTTATATCTGTGTGTATATACAAATGAAAAGTATAGTCTGTGAACTCACCATAACACTGTTTGGAGTCATAACAATACCTCAGATTGATGCTAAATAACTGGTACTTCCGTTTGGGGTTACAAAGTCGAGCTACCTGAGCTTCCCCCCTACTAAAAACAGGGCTACTATAGGGTTCCAGTGGATCTCACTCATTCCTGGCAAATGTTTCTTCATGAAGAAAAAAAAAAAAAAAAAAACATGGAAAGATCTAAACAATAATAATCTAGTGAAAATATTTAATGTGGAAGCATGGTTTCCAACTAAAAACGATGCCTGTGGTTCACTTTGATATCTTCTTTACATAAATTTTTTTTTTTTTTAAGGAAAAGTTATGGTAGAGAGATCAGACTTTGGCTCACAAGAATGCACAAGAAGAATGCTAATAGTTAGCTTAAAAAGATCTTTTCCTACCTTCACATTATCTGGATGCAGCCCCCCGGGGTGCTTGTCCATGTACTGACATAAATCAGTGTGCTGGGAGAAAAAAAGGGAAAATGTATTAACATCCCTCTGGCTATAACATGATGAATCAATATTTTTCTACTTCAAAGTCACCATTACCTTCTGAAAAAGCAAACATAAGACAAGTGCGTGGATTTTTTAGTTTACACAGCCCTATGCTCCTCCAGCCATTTTTAAGCAAATTCAATCATTACCTTTACCTCTAGGCTCTGTTTTATGTTAAACATATCTGTGCATTAGAAAAAATTCATGTCCATCATTTGTAAAGTGTCTTATTCCCTCCTCATTGAATATATATCTTTTAACTAAGAAAAAAAAATCCAAAAACTAAAACTAAATACCTTAACTTAAAGTAAAGAGAAAAAAAATTAAACTAAAACACGCAATTAACCAATCCATTTACACTTTCAATTACCTTGTATTTTTCAAATGCAAATGCAGGCTATGATTACTTTGTGTGAAATGAAAAGACTACAATTAGACAAAGTGAAATTACTCACTGGATTAGTTCAAATTTCTCTTAGATATATTCATGAAAATAACTTTCAGGTTTCTAAAACTCCTGAACATATTTCAAAAAATATATACCTTATAAAATAGAAACATTTTCAAAATTATAAACTAAAACAAAAATATATACCCAGGTATAACAACAACAAAAAATCCCTAGAAACATGCTATTATTCTTTTAAATAACCAAGCTTGATTTGCCCAGAATTATATATATTCTTCTTAACACTTTTTCTGTTTAAGCACTACAGAAAGTTTTGGGGGGGAAAATGTGAAGTTGCTATTCAAAATGTTCTTGTCTTACTGGACGATAGCATAAAATTTGTAACTTTTAGTCATTCTTTAAAAGCCACTAAACATAAGTCTTTGAGTTCCATTTTCAGGAGTCAATTATTGAGAAATCATGAGTTTTATGATATATTCAAGAACCTTGCAGTAGCTATGGTGACAACTGTTCAGATTCCTTTACTGAGTTTTTATTTCATGGCAGGTGGTGATTGATGAGTTACAGAGCAGAATTGAGCATTCATTAACTATTCAGGAGTTTCTTGAGCCCCTGTTGTGTCCTAGAACTACAGTCAGGACACATAAAGTGGCCAATTGAGGGCAAAGGGAAAGAAAGTGGGACAGTCCTAACTGGTTTGGATCAGTGGATAAAGCGTTGACTGAAAGGTCCCTGGTTCAATTCCAGTCAAGGGCATGTACCTAGGTTGCAGGCACATCCCCAGTAGAAGATGCACAGGAGGCAGCTAATCAAGGTTTCTCTCTCATTGATGTTTCTCTTTATCTCTCTCCTTTCCTCTCTAAAAAAATCAATAAAATATATTTTTTTAAATAAAGTGGGAAAGAAGAAATGATCTTAGATATGATTTGAGACAGTATTGCCTTTATTTTGGACCACACTGTGTTTAACCTAAATCAAATGCAAACTCCATGATGACAGAAACTATGTTTAATTTGGGAATTACTGTATCTTTGCTCCAGGAAAAATGTCAGGCACAGAGAAAAACTGAGTATATACAGGTGGAAACAGTTATACATATAGTGTAGCTCATTAAAATATAATTAAAATGGGTTCCATGGATGTTCTCCATGGAACATATAAACATAAATATTACATCAATAGATTTTCTTCCATGGAAAAAAACAAACCTATGTGAAGGTTTTATATCATGTAGTTAAAAAACTGAGGAAGGAATTCTCTACTCCAAACTGCCACTTTGTAACCCTGTAAATAATTAATTTCTCTGTCCTTTCAAATAGAAATAACATCTCCATTGAAAGTGTTTGGAAGAACAAATAAGTAGGACATGAGAAAGTACTTTTCACCTATAACAGGATTTACAAAAATAAGTTATTATGGATGAGAGTGGTCATTATACAATAAGACCCGTAAGAGAAAGTGAGAGGGTAGGGCAGGGTGAGGATAAACTCTGGACTCCACTGTGGGGCAGGGCGGAGTTTTCCTCCATTTTGTGTAACTGGACCCTAGCCCTCACCCAACCAATCAGGGTCAGCCAAAGCAGTGACATCACCACCGGTGTAAAACCCGGGGCTTGGCAAAGTTGGCTCTCTTGTCTGCCATGTGGTCGGCGTGTGTGGGACAGAGCCCATGTTAACATGGAAGAGCCTCTCTTGTTAATTGCATTGGACTTGGCTCCCTGCTGGTCTTTGGGGATCACGGAATTTCATGGAAATCACGGTACAACAAAAGAACTATATCTAGCCACCGAGACCGGTTTGGCTCAGTGGATAGAGCGTTGGCCTGCGGACTGAAAGGTCCCGGGTTCGATTCCGGTCAAGGGCATGTACCTTGGTTGCGGGGCACATCCCCAGTGGGGGGTGTGCAAGAGGCAGCTGGTCGATGTTTCTCTCTCATCGACGTTTCTGACTCTCTGTCCCTCTCAATTCCTCTCTGTGTAAAATCAATAAAATATATTTTTAAAAAAAACTATATCTAACTTGTTTATCACTTCTCACACATAAAATAGTAAGCAGAAAGTACACCCAATCATATCAATTATTACATATCCATGACGTGCTAAAATTACTAAAAATATAAAAATTCAGTTTACAAAACAAGAAAATAATATTCACATTGTTTTCAAGATACAAAGAATAAGAACAGGAAATAAAGAAACAATGTATTTATTTATATTATTTACATTTCATGTTAGTTATGCCGGTACATATCAATAAAAAATCAGCATATAAACATAAATATAAGATAAATAGAATTCAAGGGCAATTTAGTAAACGTTAATACATTTAACAGCATGACATAACAATATCAAACAAAATATGATTTTTAAAAAAGAAGAAGAAGAAACTGCCAGGCCCACAGTGGCTGAGCATCAACCTATGAACCAGGAGGTCACGGTTCGATTGCCTGAAATCCAAGTTACAGCTCAGTCCCCAGTGGGAGTCGTGCAGGAGGTAGCTGATCAATGATCTCTCTCATCATTGATGTTTCTGTCTCTCTCCCTCTCCCTTCCTCTCTGAAAACAATGAAAATATATTTTTTAAAGTAAGTAAAAAAACCAAAACTATAAAGAAGGAACTCTACCAGGAATTGGGGCAGAGGGATTCCTGATCCTCAAGGCACAGTGATGTCCTTCTGAGTCTATGGCCAATGGCATTAGCGTCAAGAATTGCAGGAAGGAGGCTTCTCCAGAAATGAGATCTTGGGAAATGTAATAAAGATTTTTCCAAACCTTTCAAATGTTTTCATTCATATTTACTTAAATGAATGGCATGAAGACATGTGTGTGTGTGCGCACACATCACAAGCATACACACATGGCTTTCCTTAGCTGTGTAACCTTGGGCACATTACATCAGCTCTGTATATCAGTATTTTGATCTAATGAGGAGAAGCCCAATATAACTGATTAAATGAATATTATGAAAATTAATGAGTAAAAAATTCAGAATGTTTTTACAACATTGCCCAGTGCTTGGTAGATGCTAGATGATGATGATGATGACGATGACGATGATGATGATGATGATGATGATGTTCTGTGGTCTGTTTGGAGCAGGGAGGAATATTTGGAAGGATTGCAATTAAAAATCAAATGACAGATACAGTCAGGAAACTGGAGCTCCTAGGTGTAGCATTTCATCCTTTTACATGTTATCTTGTCTGCATGCCCAGACATTCTCACTGATACTCCACTTCTCTCTGTACACAACCACGGAAGCTACATCTAATACACCATTAGCCTCCAATTGCTCCATGTCATTGGGTGTAAGAATCCAGAGAATCTCAAATGGAGAAAGAGATGAGGTAGTACAAGGTCCCATTTACACTTCTGTTCTACCTGTATTAAAAACTGCTTCTTTTTTTTTTTTTTTTTTTTTTTTAAATACACAGCACTACATCTGAAACTGCATTAAATGTGCCAAAATTACAAATTTTTATAACATTTCCCTCTTTTTAACATCTCTTCTTAGTACAAATGATTGGATTATATTACCCTTTTAATTTGCTCTGGTCCATAAACAGAACTAAACTAAACAATAACAACAGAACTAAACTAAACAATAACACTTGCCATTCCATTTTTTTTTTAAGTCTTCCTGCGTAAAATCACTATCCTTTGATGATGTGTGAATAATCTCAGACCCATCTGGCTTGATCTCAAGCTTTGTTTTTGTTTTCATAATAAAATGGGGCACCTTTAGACTAGCAGCCTGGTGACTGCAGATCACACGCAATCACTCTTGGCCCTTCTAATCTCTATCTTGGCTCTTGGCTAACATTTCCTCTTTCCCTCACTCCATTATGTCGCACCTCACCTTCCCACACCTCCACTCTTATTCACTCCATCACGGGTGCTGTTCTTCAGGGCAATGCTTTTAGAAGTGCTGTGTCTGACAGGATTTCACCTGAGTGCCTGAGAACACCTCATCCATCTCCCATGCAGTGGGTGGTTTCAAATGAAGCCATCAAGTATGGCGAGGCCTAACAGTGACATGGGAGACAGACTGAGAGCAGAAAGGGGCCGCAAAGGCTCAGATCTCACACTAGCAGTTCCGTCTTTCAAAGTCAGGTTCCTCTTTTCGGGCTCTTGACGATCCATCAGGTAGCATTTATTGGTTACGTACATATGTGCAGGAGTGTTTCTAGGGAAAAGAATTTGAGGAACCTATCTGAAATCCTAATGGCCCGAACAGAAGTATTCTCTGTGAAGAAGTCTGCCACATTTACAATTTGGGCTTCCCCATATTGACCTGATTACTCTGTGGCTGGATCGATACAGATGACAGGAGAGAAATCTGCCTCTGTAAAAAGGCAGGATACAAAAAGGTAGGATACAGAAACACCACAGAAAATGGAGCAGACTTTTCACTCACAAGCCCTTTCACAAGGTAGTCTCAGTTCATTTCAATCATCTGTGGAGCTGAGAGCCAAGAGCCATGACTGATAGTACGCAGCCATGAGACTTAAAAGAAAGGACATGAAAGAACACGCCAATGATAAATTATGAATATAATGA